CCCCCCCCCCCCCCCCCCCCCCTTCCAGTGCTGTATTGACAACTACGAGGACATGGTGAAGATCCTTCTAGCCCACGGCGCCTCCGTCAACGCTCAGGACAACGAGCTGTGGACCCCCCTGCACGCCTCGGCCACCTGCGGCCACGCCGGCCTGGTCAAGATCCTCATCCAACAGTGAGTCCATTACAAGCCACGTCTGCTGGTTAAACACGGCACGCCAGCGTTCTGAGCTGCTAACACCACGGATATTTGAACCTCTTGGAGGTTTAAGGCTTGGGGACACCAGGCCGTAGTCAAATACCTCATTTAAGTCATTCCACTGCCTTGGGTCCAAGCATCTGCAAACCAATATAACATGCTTGTGCCGTGGTTCCGTTTCGGGCTCGGAACCACCGATCGGTACAGTGTGTGTCCGAAAGAAAACTCCCATTGACATAACACATGGTGATGAATCAGAATCCTTAGTGCCTGTTTCCGAGGGGAGATGTTTGGTGCCGTCTGGCTGTTTGTGATGAAACGTTCACACCTCGTTTCATCACTCGTTTTATTTTCATTGAGCAGACCTCGTCCATTCACAAGGTCCTTGGCTCGTTTCCTCCTATGTGCTTAATGCTCCTGTAAACATCTCGCCTCATGTAGCGGAGCAGACCTGCTGGCCGTGAACTCTGATGGCAACATGCCCTACGATCTCTGCGAAGACGACCCCACCCTGGACATCATCGAGACGGCCATGGCTAACCGTGGTGAGTGGGCTGGCCGGCTGCCAGGAGGGAGTATCATAGGCTTTCATATACAGAAAATAATGAGAGGAAAGCTACATTAAATAATAATTGTGTGGATGACTGACTAAATGGGCTCAGTGTTTTTTTCCCTGTATTGCTCCTGTGAACAGAAATGATGCCCTGTGATCCCGTTATCGTTCTGAAAAGCCGCAAAAGCCCTGTTATTATATGGGAAACGTCACAGCAGATTGAGGGGGGATTCCAGTGGGGACACGGGCCTTGCTTCTCTGCCTGTGAGGACATTCCCTGCAGCATTTTACTGCACGTTGCACCCGAAACTCCCGCAAAGGCCTCACACTTCCATCAGCAGATCGGTCATTTCCCTGTCCTTCTGCTGGAAGCCTTCCTGGTCTCGCAGGTCTCACGTGATTAATCGGTTGGCATATCTGTCACCCCCCCCCCCCCCCCCCCCCCCGATGGACAGGGATCACGCAGGAGATGATCAATGAGACTCGGGCGTCCGTGGAAAGGAGAATGCTTGGAGATATCCAGAACTTGCTCCGGGATGGCGTGGATGTCAACCAGCAGGACTCTCAGGGAGCCACGCTGGTGAGAAATGCCTCAGCTGACCTGGGATCAGAGGATTGTTCTGGTCGTGATCTACTCCGTTAAACCAGTGTTTCTCAGCCCGGTCTTTGGGGACCCTGAGACGGTCCACACTGTGTGTCCCTGCGGGCTGGATTGAGAAACACTACCTTAGTGATTGCTTCTGCCGCGTGTTAAGTTTTATGTCAATGTAAACATTCACGCTGGGCCCTCCGGTTGGATTTGCAGCATACATTTGCTTTGTAATTGTTGGAGCATTGTGTAGGTTGAGTAGGACTGTAAAGAAAATAAGATGTGAAATATGAGATTTGCCTTTTTGCGAGTGCTTACACTGGCTGTTATTGTTATTGTTCAGCACTGCAATAAAAGCATAATGAACCATGATCACATAATGCGCAGTCATGAAGATAAACAGCCTGTTTCCTTCCTCTCTTATCCATGCCACCAAACGTCTGTGTGCCTAATCTGCCTTCCTGCTGTCGCAGTAGGGTGGCAGAATATTTTCCTAATGCTCAGTTTGCCTTAAGGATGACAGAAGCCAAAGTGCCTAAAACTATCTCATCACATATGCAGGTTTTAGCCTGTTAGCCATAGCTATACCCGGCAGCGGTAATTTTCTGCACCGAATATTGTCTGATGCTTTATTTAACTAATTTTGTTAGCTTTGTGGTTTCACCCAGTATAAAGGACAAACATATGGGGGTGAATAGTGACTTAAGATTTAACAGGCACTTTGCTCTGGCTAACAGCCGGGGGGGCAAAGAGATTACTGCTCTTACTGCAGGACTGTTAGACCTGAGCTCCGCGGGCAGTTACGGGGGATCTACAGGGCTGTTTTGGAAATTGACGAAATGCCACTATTTTCAGCCAATTTATGCATTTACAGCCGACTACTGTCTCTTCTTTCATCTGAACATAACGAAATATTAGCCCACCACCACACTTAGTTCCTAGATGCGTGATCATCCCTTGATGGAGGGGTGTTCCTGTATCCTGTATTTTCAGTTGTAAGTCACTAGTTAAGGAAGCATTAGCACACGACCCGTCATTTGGTAATTAATCTAGGACTTGGCGGCAACTGTACAACCCAATTGACACTTTGAGTATCACATGACAATCTATATGTAACACATCCGTAGCTGCTAATTGACAAGTTTTCACGTGTCTTGGGTGAACGTTGGGGCTTAGAAGGGCAGCCGGTTCTGTCCCAGGGCTGAAGGAATCTCAGGCCTTAGGTGTGGACCACGGAATCTGCCAAGCTGTCACGTTTCGGAGGTGGCCCACTTGAACGCGGTTCGGCCTCCACGAAAGCACCCATGCCGACAGGCTGGAGCCGCGCTCTTCGGACTGATAACCCCGTTGGGTATTGGCATGCACGCTCTGTAAGACCAGGCCCCTCCCCGCCCCCCCCAGGCATCATCCAAAAGTAAACTCTGAAGGTTATGGAGTTGGAATGATCTCAGCATGGTGGCCGGTGTCTGCAGCTCCGGTGCAGTCGCTGTGAGAATTGGCTTTCGTAACTCAGCGGGGGCAAAATCATGATTAAGTTAAGGCCTTGATTGAGACAGTCTGGCCTGCTGTGAATTCAGCTCCCATACTCATCACCTGCCCCCCCCCCCCCCCCCCCCCCCCCATTCCTATTCCAGCTCCACATTGCAGCAGCCAACGGCTACATCCAGGCTGCAGAGCTGCTGCTGGAGCGGGGGGCCCAGATGGATCTGCGCGACTGTGATGGCTGGCAGCCGCTCCATGCCGCCACCTGCTGGGGACAGGTAACGCAACACAATCAGACACTCCAGTGCGTGAACCTGATCACGTATGTGCATACCTGCGCGCGCACACACACACACACACACACACACACACATACGCGCTGGCACTGCATGGATCTGCTGTTGGCTCCTCCCACAGATGCAGATGGCAGAGTTACTGGTCTCTCACGGATCCAGCCTCAGTGCCAAGACCCACTTTGATGAGACCCCAATAGGCAAGTCTCCCGTGACCATGTCTGCTTCTTGAGGACCTAAAATGCTCTTGTGTTGTAAGAGGCTGGAATGTAGAGGCTGTGGCATCATCTCCTATAGGGACACGCTCTTCGGTGTTTATGAAGTTTTGTAAATGGGTCACTGTGACTGTAACAGGTCCAAATGTAGGGTAAGCCATACTGTATAGAAAGGCCTTTCTCTCACGCACACACAGGTTTGTAATTATATCCTTGTGCGGACTCTGTTCCCCCTAGAAAAAAATACACTCTAATCCCAACCTGGCAACCCTAACCCCTACCCAGCCCTAACCTTAAGCATAAGTAATTAAACAAAATACAGACTTTTCACATTTTGTAGTTTTTTTTGGTTACAAATTTTTATTTTTTCCCTTGTGACGACCGAAAAAATAGTAACACACACACAAGCAGTCATGAATTACTTGCATGGAAAGATATATTGATTTTGCTTAAGAGCTACTATTCAATGACGTTTTTGTTATAAATATGGGATGATTATTAAAATGGTAGCGTATGTACAGTTTGCCAATGCACCAGGGTCGTTTTTTGATTTCCTGCATCGTTAAGATTTATCTATATTCAAAGCAGAATGGGAGTGCTTTTAAAATGGTATTTTACATGGCTACAGTACCATAGTTAATGCCACAATGAAGCAGTAGGTATTACATTTTCTTAGTCATCTAATTATAGTCATTCTGTAGTGAGAAGCTGCCTCGTTAGTTGTATTTTAGTCTAAATTATAACATGGCCGTTGTGCGTAGCATGTGGGCGGCGTCACCGCGACCTCTGTTGTTCTGATTCTGCAGATTTGTGTGAGGATGAGGAGTTCCGTGCCATGCTGCTAGACCTCAAACACAAGCACGACATCATCATGAAGTCAGAGCTCAAGCAGAAGACCTCGCTGTGCCGCCGCACCTCCAGCGCAGGAAGCCGCGGGTAAGCACTGCCCTCTGCTGGCCACATGTGGGAAAACGCAGTCCTCAGAGACTGCTGGGCTCTCCAGTTGCTGTTCAGGGCCGCTGGTGGTGTTTGTGTGTGAGGCGGCCTGGATCAGATCTGCGTGTGTTTGTGTTTTGACAGCAAGGTTGTTAGGAGGGCTAGCCTTTCGGACAGGAATAACCTGTACCGCAAGGAGTACGAGACGGAAGCCATCGTTTGGAGAGGCGGGCGGGATGAGGAGGAACGGGAACGGGAATCGGACCAGGAGAACAGTCAGTCGGTGAGTATGCTCCACACAGAGGGACCCCAGTGCACATGGAGGTCTTTGGGGTTTACACTCGGACATTAAAGGTCTAACCTTAAGTACTTTGGCTGGAAAGTCACCATAGCAAACCACAGAAAACAGAGTGAGAGTGTATCCTAAGACAGTCCAGAAGGGTCTAGAGGAGTGTGTGTACATTCACAGCAAAGCTAGCTTTAAGAAAGGCAATATGCATCATTTTAAATGTTTACTATTGTTAGATACTCTGAGAAAATTATGTTTTAATGATCATCTTGTTTGTGCAAAACAATGTCTGTCAAAGTGTGTCAGCTTAGCCATTTCAAAACCTCTACAATAGTCACCCCAGTGCTTGCAGCAACTGTCCAATACACCCATTTTTTGACTACTGGTGTACCTTGTTTCGTTAACCAGTACCGCATTGAGGTATTTAACTAATTAAGTTAATTAATTTAGATACATGGAATGGCTGAGGTGCCCCTGAGGAGAGGTTTGGGAACTGAAGCGGTTTTCATCTCGCCGTCCAACAATATATCAATAATTTTTTGGAGAACGGGAGAAATTTAATGTTTATTGTGTTACTGTCAGTTTGCTTATGTTAAAGTATAAAATTATGTATTTTTGAGCAAATATACCCTTACTGTCCAGATGAATAGTTTTAACCCTTTTCTTTGACTAAGACTTTTGTGCAGTACTGTGTATTAAACGTAGCTTCTTTCATGTTTATTATTTACATGTATGTCGTTCTGTATTCAAATTTTGGTGTAAAACTTCAATACCTACATAATAGTAATAGTAATGAACATATGTTCATATGTAATATCCTTTGAGTGACTCGTTATGAACTGTGGGAGGCCGGCTGTTTCAGAGCAGTGCTGTACGCACCGCAGGTTTCGCCGCTTCAAAGCGTCTCTGTAACTTGGTGACCTTTGCCCTTTGCCAGGTCAGAGCTGAGGAGACGACTCCAAAGGACAGCGGGAAGCCTAACGGTTCCGTCTCCACGGCAACGGCAGCTCCATCCCCTCCGCCCTGCAACGGCGAGCCGTCGGCAGCAGAGCCTCAGAGTCCGGCACCTCCGCAGCCACCCGAGGGGTCCTGGCCCAGGGAGCGCGGCCAGACGCTTTCGGAGCTGAAGAGGCAAAGGGCCGCGGCCAAGCTGCTGAGTTACCCGCTGCTTAATGGCTACCTGGGTAATGGCTCCGCGGGGCTCCTTGAGCCCAAGCCGGGCCCCGAGGATTCCCGCGTTCCTCTGGTGTCCTCCAACGGCAGCGTGGTCTTCTTCACGCCTACCAGCGGAGACCCACCCCTGCTCAGATTCAAGCAGCCAATGGAGGAGCCGGAGACCAAGGCCAGTGGGTGCTGCTGCGTCTCGTAACGGCCGGGGCGGAGGGCGCGGCACAGCGGAGACGCCAGGAACGTGGCGACCTGCACGTCTGCGGCTTGGGGAGGCCCCTCCCTGCAGAATCGCTCCCTGCCGGGATGAATGGAAAAAGCCATTCGTGTGAGGAAGTGGGGTTTGGTTTCCTCTGGGAAGGGGGAGGGGTCCAGCAGTTACAGGAAGTGTAAATTGCAGGTGGCCATTGTTCTACATACTCCCCACAGGAGCTTCAGAACCCTTAACTAGCCTAGAGAAGAGGGTGTGTCCTTTTTTTCTGGAAGCCCCAAGCCCACAGGCTTTTATTTTTATACCAGGCCGAACCACGCTGTTTTCAAACAGACCTGTTTGCACGGTAAATCTAAGACAAACACAGAAGCAGGGAGGGCAAGCAGGGTGCACTGACAGACGCCAGGACGATTAGGACAATATGTTTACGGAGTGCGTGTGTCTGGTGAAGGCCTATGGCAAAGCAAACGGATGGAAGTTTTTTTTTTTTTACTTTATTTTTCTTAGGAGATATTTGCTCTTGTGGAAGTACGTGCTCTCTGTCTGGGGAAGGAGCTTTAAGCAGCTTTAGTCTCACGGCATGCGTGTTTTTTTTTTTGTCGAGGAGATGTGTAAATAAACGAAATAGCGAAGCACTGAATCGTTGCGTGAGCGAGTTCTGTTACACGGCTGGACTTTTTACACATTTCACGGTGGCTATTTTTTTAATATATGACGCCAGGTTTAAAATGACTACAGGTTATTCGGGGAGTTGAGTGGATTGTATTGTAGTAGTAAGAAAACATCAGGTTTATTTCAGTGTCCTATATTACAGAATATCAGGTAGCACCTTTTATTACTGCAAAAAAAGAAGGAAAAAAACTGTTGTGTTTGTATAGTGTTATTTATGAACTTGTGTTATGTATAGAGGCTACTGTCCAGTGTAACTGGAAATAGGGTCCAAAGCCGGTATGTTATTTATTGTTTGTTCTAATCATTCAAACAAATTGCCTGGTCTGTTTCTAGAGGAAGTATGAGACTGTCATGGAAGAAGCAGAGACCTTGGGTAACGCGTTTTGGCAGGTGAGATATGTTGTGGCTTGGACACCTTGCACTTCTGAGTCACGCTTAGTCATGTAGATGGCAGGTAAATCCTCCATCCCACCCATGCTAGTCGCTGTACAATTCCACTCTCTTTCACAGAGCTGGAGGTGTAGCTGAAGGTGACAGGTGACGGATAATCGTTTTTGTAACTCACCTCCTTTGACATTCTAGAATGTTCTTGGGCATGGTTCTAAAGTGAAATGCACCCAGCTGTGGGAAACTCAGAAAGCTTTAGCTGAAATAATAGACAATCCATTATGT